TAGCAAGTCTAGGTGAGACCCAGTCTCAGAGGAGGTAGATCACACCACTGAGGATGACACCAGAGATGGTCTTTCTCTCTCTCTCTCTCTCTCTCTCTCTCTCTCTCTCTCTCTCGCTCTCTCCCCCCCCCTCTCTCGCACGTGCGAGCACATACACACACACACACACACACACATGATTCAGAATTCTGCATTGTACAGTCACTGATGCAGCTCTAATACAAGAGGGAACTGGAAAAACTCAGTTCCTTTATTACAGCATTCTCTCCTTTCTGGGCAAGCCTTCATTTCTTCAGCTGTTCCCTGATGCCTGCAAAGTGATCTGTGTATGTAGCTTCATAATTCATTCCTTTGCTTCTTCTGTTTTTTAATAAGTGTTAATATACTACAAAGTAGTTCTTTTTTTTTTCAAGAAGGAAGTTTCTGCCATATCCTGCCATATCCCACAGTCATTCAGTCCCAAAGAGACACACAAAGACTTATATTAATTATAAACTGTTTGGTCTATTATCTCAGGCTTAGTATTAACTAGCTCTTATAATGTAAATTAACTCATAATTCTTGTCTATGTTTAGCCATGTGGCTTGGTAGTTTTTCTCAATGAGGCATTCTCATCTTGCTCCCTCTGCATCCATGTTGCAACTGTGTCTCTACCTTTCCTCTTCCCAGAATTCTCCTACTCTGGGCTCCCCACCTATACTTCCTGCCTGGCTACTGGCCAAACAGCACTTTATTAAACTAATATGAGTGACAAATCTTAGCAGTGCACAAGTGCATTATCCACAGAATTTTTCTTTTTAAATAATTTGTATTTTAAGTTTTCATGCAAGTCTATTTTGTATGCCATGTATATTCCCTTTCATATTCTACTCCCATTAACACTTTTGTATCAGTAATTTTACTGCTGGTTTCATGCATAGATACATATATGGATTATGTATCTACATAAAACAAAGCAGCACAATGGGAGAAAACGTACAATATTTGTCTTTCTGAGACTAGCTGAATCCATTTAATATGGTTATTCCCAGTTGTATTCATTTCCCCACAAACAATATGACTTCATCCTTTGTGGAAAATGTTCCCACTCTATGTATAGAACACATTTTATTGTCCATTAATTTGTTGGTGAACACTTAGGCTGGTTCTACAATTTTTCTGTTGTGAGTGGTGCTGAAAAATCCATTGACTTGTGATTCCAGTCAGCTTAGAAGGCAGCATGGAGCATTTTTTTTTTATTTCAAATGTAATTGTTAAAAGAATATTGTATTTTTAGATGTCTGTGTTTGCTTGCATGTTCATATGCACACCATGCATATCCAGTTTTCATGGGGGTAAGAAGAGAGTACCAGATCCCCAAATGTCCCCGAGTCACACTGTGGTTACTGGAAACAAACCTGGGTCCTCTGCAAGAGCAGCGGTGCCACCATGCTTGCTGCTTCAGATACTTCTGAGAAAACACAAGATTCACTTCAAGATCCCCAGTGCGTCCTCTCCAACGCATCTAACTCTCTTCTAAAGAGTAAGCGCCTGCTTACTCCGACCTCCTCTTGGCTTCAGTTTCACAAGTTAGTAGGTCATAGGATGAATGACACATGAACTATTTGCATTGGAAATTGTAGTTCAGCCCAAATCATAAACCTGGTTCTAATAAGCTAGAAAGTCTTGGGAAATTACATATTGACTCTCAGCCTTAATTTTCTAAGCTGCAGAAGGAGACTTTGGCCTGGGCTTCTTTCTCATGATTCTGTTTCTACTTTGTGGAAATTTCTGTGATTCTTCCCCCCTTAAGTATGATGAGTGTGCACAGATAGTCTGTGACTGCTAATATAATACATACATTCTCTATATCAAGTAAAAATTTTACTATATAGCTATAAGATTTACATTTTCAAGTTTATCATTTTCTCTATTTGACATGTGAAATCTCTCTTCATTCTCTCTCTCTCTCTCTCTCTCTCTCTCTCTCTCTCTCTCTCTCACATCCTGTATTTCTACATTTCAAAAGTGAATGTGGTAAGTAGACATTGGTAACTGGGGCTGTTTACTCATTAAGAATCATGGTGGCTTGTGACTTTTCCTGGAAAGATGTAAACAAATGTCTATTTGTTCCAAATAGGGCACTAATGTCAGACCAAATAAAAAATTCCACCTAAGCCTACCTTAGTGAGAGAGCAAGTTTGGAAGGTTACTTACAGGAGTGTGAGTGAGATGTTACTTTACAGGACATGAATAACACATTACCAAAACACTCATCCCAACATAAATGATAAAAGCTGCCTCTCGAGCTCCCTGTGTGGCTCACAAGTAACCCTTCTGATTTAAAAGTCTCTTCTCTCCAGCAATAGTAATTATTTACATAACCTGCCAGAAGAGCCTTCTGGGTCCTGTAAGTTTAATGAACTTTATGAGACTTGTGAATTGTTGACATCTTTAACCACGAAAGTCTTGTTGACTTTAGAGGCAATTGCTATGTATTATGCAAGCTTTAGAAACACCAAGAGTCCATTTCAATATTGTTTGATGTTTCTGTCTCCAAATGGTACCTTGTCAGATATTAAAATACAACCCATGATTTCTTCTTGTTTCTATTTATATCTTTATATAAACCTACTGTTCTATTTTGCTTCCTGTTGCTGTGATAAACATAATAACCAAAATTTGGGGAGGAAAGGGTTTATTTTAGCTTACAGGGCTCTAGAGTCTATCATCAAAAGAAGTCAAGGCAGGTACTTTAGGCAGAAATTCATGGAGCAAAGCTGCTTACTGGCTTGCTCCCAGACCCATGTTTAACTACCATTCTTAAACAGGCCAGGCTCACCTGCCTAGGAATGAGACTGTTCAGAGTAGGCTGAGCCATTCCACATTAATTAGCATCAAGAAAATGTCCCATAGACACACTCACAGGCCAGTATGATAAAAGTAATTCCTCAGCTGAGGTCCCCTCTTTCCAGACGTGTCAAGGTGATGACCAAAATTAGCTACCACAGCCTCCATATATATTTTGGTTTATCTTTGCCAACCCTTTCTGAAGCCAAGCACATCCAGCAGTTTACTAAGTGAACTGTATTCCCAGCCCCTAGAGCTAACATTTTACCTTAGTCGTCCTGAGTCAGTTTTCTAGAAACGTGATTTCAGGTAAGAGGCAATCATTGAAGAGGATTCCCTTGGTTTAAAATTTTTTTTTTAACAATTGTTTTGGGGGGAGTATAGCCACTGCTGAGCTTGTGTGGAGGTCAAAGGGCAACTTTCAGGAGTCAGTTCTCTCTTATCATATGGGTTCTGCGGCCAGACTCAAGTCATCAGGCAGAAGTGGCTTTTATGCTCTGAGCCATCTTGAGGACCCTACATTCTTTTACTGTGGGGTTCCCTGTCTATTCAAGGGTGTTTTACATGATTTCTTGTGAATTTTTCTGACTCCCATAACTTCTTCTCCCTTTTTGGCAATCTTCTGTTTTTGTCATGATTTCCTTTTATTTGTATGGTTGTCTGTACCATGTCAGTGAGGTACCCATGGAGGCCTGATGTTGGATTTCCCAGGACTGGAGTTAGAGACGGTTTTGAGCCACTGTGTGGGTTCTGGGAATCAAGCCCAGGTTCTCTGGAAGAGCAGCCAGGCTCTTAACTGCTGTGCCATCTCTCCAGCCCCCTGTGCAATCTTCTTTGTTTTCTGTTCTTTTCCTAGTTCTTTCATTCCAGTTCTCTGTATCCACAGATACTTTGCCCTGTCTGATCACAAGGAAAGAATTTATTTTTTGATTTTGAAAAAATAACTTTTGTCTTTTTATTCAACTTTTTTCCCCTGATGATCTTTGTGCAAATATTTGTCTCTTTCTAGTAAGGATTTTAAATTTCCAAATTACAAAGATTATTTTTACATTCCTTATTGGAGTTAATTCACTTGGGAGCATTGTTTTTCTCCTCCATGAGTTCCTTAATAAATATTTTCACTGACCAGAGATGTCTGTTCCACCCTGCCTGTATTTGGTGTTAGGTTTGCCCTATGTTTTCCTCCTAACCTAGAGCTGGGTATGGGGTGATGCCTTGCTAACCCAGGATGTTAGTTCGCGAGTGCCCTCTTGTGTTGACACCATGAACACTGGGACCTTGTTTGTATAGGTTCTTGGTTCTATATTCTTCTTATGCTTTGATATCTTCAATGTTTCTATACAATTTTAGCTCCCTACCTTTCTTTCTTCAGCCATTTGCCCTTTATAAGTTATCTTCTTGTAAACGTCTTCTCAGCTTTTCTCTGTTCCCTCAAGAAATTTAAGTCCTTCTTGTCAGTGGTGGCGCACGCCTTTAGTCCCAGCACTTGGGAGGCAGAGGCAGGTGGAGCTCTGTGAGTTTAAAGCCAGTCTGATCTATAGAGATAGTTCTAGGATAGCCAGGACTACAAAACCTGTCTTGAAATACAACACACACACACACACACACACACACACACACACAGATTCGTAATCTTTTCCTTGTGGCTCCAGCTGTACTTAGCTCAGCTCAAATTCTTCATTTACTGAAAGAAGAAAATGCTGTGATTCATACATAAATGAATTGAATGAATTTTAATGACATTATTGTAGGTACTCTCATTTATTTGAAATGGATGCTGTTTAGTTTGCTTTCTGTGTCTCTGATAAAGACCATGACCAAAAGCAGCTTGGGGGTAAAAAGGGTTTATTTGGCTTATACTTCCGGAATAGAGTCTATTGTTGAGAAAAGCTAGGGCAGGAACTCAAACAGGAATGCAGGTGGGAAACCACCGGGTAAAACTGTCACACATCCATCAGAAGCACGTTTTGTAGTGACCTCCAGATCCAATCAAGTGACAACCAAGCTTGACCTCACAGCCACCATGCTTTGCTTGACCATTATCTGCTTCTTTGACATCATGTGAATATAAGGCCTTTTACAAGGCCATGGCATCTCATCCGTCTGCCTTAACCTGTTTACAGCGTCTCAGAGTCTTCTTTGTCTGTGTGTAAGTTACTTGTCTCTTCCAGTGCATTCTGTAAGGCTGGCTGGAAGAGAAACTCGATCCCAGGAACTGTTCGCAAGTGACATCTACCAGATAGTTGATGAAATTGTGCCTGCTCTGCTTCCCGTGGTCCAGGATAAAGCGTTTGCATTTTTTGGCCACAGGTATTTACCTTCTGTTGTACACAGAAAGGTGCCTCTCTGTCTATCTATGTATCTATCTATGTATCTATGTATGTATGTATGTATGTATGTATGTATGTATGTATGTATGTATCTATCTATCTATCTACCTCTCTCTCTCTCTCTCTCTCTCTCTCTCTCTCTCTCTCTCTCTCTCTGTGTGTGTGTGTGTGTGTGTGTGTGTACACTCATATGTGGTGTGTATTGGTGTACGTGCTTGGAATACATGGGAAAGCCAGACAATGACTTTGAATGTTGTTGGTCCTTAGTCCCAATGGCCTTAAACTCTGCCACATACGCCAAGCCAGCAGGCCCACCCTCTTTCAAGGATTCCCTTCACTTTGTCTCTCATTTCTGCACTGTTGAGATTTCAGGCCAGAGAGCTGAACTGAGCTTTTGACATTGGTTCTGGGTTCAGAAACTGGACCCCCACATCCACGAGGTCAGTGCTTTAATGACTGAGCCGTCTCTCAGCCCGGAAACGCGTACTGTGTTGACAGTGGTAATAGACTTTTATAAAACAGTTATCAACCAGCTAGCTTTTGCCCATCCCTTAGTCACTGCTGTGTTTGCGACACCTGGTCACCATGAGTTTTGTTCAACACTATCTATGATGTCTGTCTCTTCCCTGGTTTAGTTTTGGATCCTACATTGCTTTCATGACTGCACTGAGCCTCAAGGAGAAATACAAAATGGAGCCTCTGCATTTCTTTGTGTCCAGTGCATATGCCCCCCACGTACGTGTTCTGGTTTTCTTTGGATGGGGAATGAAGGAGCGGGAAATGGGGTATTAACAATTGGGTAATAGTTCTCCTTTGGTCCAGCCTAGGGGTGATGACAGGATCTACCACGTGCTACTGAAAAGCCCTGTGATCTTTCGATGTATTTCTTTCCAACCTCAGAAATGAACTTGAGTTTCTTCCTGAATACAGTCTCATTATTTCTGTCCCTGGAGCTAGTGCTGTCCCTCCCCGCTTTCTGTCCCCCTGGAGCTAGTGCTGTCCGTCCCTCCTTTCTGTCCCCCTGGAGCTAGTGTTGTCCCTCCCCGTTTTCTGTCCCTCTGGAGCTAGTGCTATCTGACCCTGCTTTTTGTCCTCAGCATATTACCTCAGTTGGGAACTTACCAACATAAGAAGAGAAACCAATCATTTGTGACTTTTTAAGCCAGTCTTGTGACTCCTGGTTCCTTCTTGCCAGCACTGACCTTCTTTGCTTCCTCTGCAGAAACTGGCACAGGCCCAGCATTCTAACTTGGGAGTGCCAGTTTGGTGGACTTCTGATGCTAAAGTTCTTAGGACACTTTCTTCTTCCTCCTGGATTTAAGGCAGCAGGCTTGGGTTGTGGGGGCCTGTGTGTTCCATGAAAGATCAACCTTGTGTTTGTTGATGTTTCAAGTCAATATCCCGGCATTCAATTCCTGAACTGAACACACTGTCGGAAGAACAAGTCAGGCACTACCTTCTGAATTTCGGAGGCACCCCCAAGCATCTCATTGATGACCAGGACGTTCTGAGTCAGTGCATTCCCATTCTGAAGGCAGATGCTGCCATTGTGAAAAACTTCCTGTAAGTAACTCTGTGTCTCTGTGTGTGTGTGAGCGCGCGCGTGCACATGAGTTTATATTTATAGAAAAACATAGGCCAGGTGGTGGTGGTGCATTCCTTTAATCTCAACATTAAGCACTCAGGGGGCAGGTGGATCTCTGAGTTCGAGGCAGGCCTGGTCCACAGAGTGAGTTCCAGGACAAACAGGGCTACATAGTGAAACTCTGTCTTGAAACCTCACCCCAAAAGAAGAGAAAAAATAATATAGATTGGCAGCTCACAGAGGCTGTGCATACGAGAATCTAATACTCTAAAGGCTGCAGTGCATTCGTGTTGAAATAGGCCCGCATGGTCTAGCTTTATACCCGAAATAATTACATGGAAACTATTCTTTTAAACACTGCTTAGCCAGTTAGTTCCAGCCTCTTCTTGGCTAACTCTAGCACCTAGACTAACCCATTTCTAATAATCTGTGTATCCCACAAGCTGGTATACCAGGAAAGATCTTAACCTGCGTCTGTCTGGAGTGGGAGAATCATGGTGACTCCCTGATTCAGCTTCTTTCTCCCAGCATTCTGTTCTGTTTACTCCACCTATCTAAATTTTAACCTATCAGGGCCAAGGCAGTTTCTTTATTTAACCAATGACCTTCCTCCATCACATTCATGTGCTCTGAGGCCTCTTGGGATATTTTTCTGGTTTGGAATGGATTTGGGGCACAGGAATTGTATCTTTCAAAGGTGACTGGCAGTTTTTTTTCTTTAAAAATATTCATAATTATTTATGATTGCATGTTTTGTCACATAATAAATATGTATTGTACAAATTATTGCCATCACATTCTAGGTATCAGCAAGAGTGGATTGGCTACTTACTAAGTGTGGAAGGTGAGAGCCGGGAGCAGAGGCTTGGCTGAGTTCACTATTCAGTGAATGAATTCCAGAACTCCATACCCCTCTCCATTCCCCTTCTCTGGGAGGCTATCAGTCTCCATGCTTGGTTTTTCTGATCAGACTGACATGTTAGCACATCAAATCCTTCCCCAGACCCCTGAGTCTGTTGTCAGGGAGGCTTCAGAATCTTGAGTTCCCAAGGGAAATCACTTTGAGGTCAGCCTTTTGTCTCCTGCATTCTCATGCCTGGCTAGACCTGACTCCCCTGGGCTAAGACTCTTCAAAGCATATTTATTTCTTTTACAAAGCCCAGAACTAGCGCTGGGGCAGTGTGTGTGTGCTGGGGAGGGGAGGGGAGGAGGCATGCTACTTGCCAGTGGAAGTTGACAGTTACAAAACTGGGGCAGTCATCTTGAAAACCGACACAGCCACATCATTTTCTCTGTATCCATTCGTCACCCGCCCTCAGTCTGTCACAAAGTTCGTGGTGCCCCCACCTCTGCCAGACGCTCCAAGTCATTCTCCCTTTTTCTGTGTCTGATTGTCTCCCCAGGATAAGCTGTTTTGTGCTTCTAAAATAGCCCAGAGTCAAGATTTAAGAAATACCCACTGAATGAATGAGAGAGAGAGAGAGAGAGAACAAATTTTGAAGAGCTAGTATTCAGTTACAATTTAAAAAATCAGTTTAGTGCCCATTAACATTCTAGTGATAGTCTTCATAGGAATAGGGAAATAATTCTTAAAATTCATATGGAAGCACAAAAGACCAAATTTCTAAAACAATCCTGAACAAAAACAAACAAATAAGCAAACAAAAAACAATGCGACACCAGGTCTTGCCACACCTGATTTCCAATCACACTATAGAGCCACAGTAAGGAAGGCAACTAGAGAACACATGCAGGTCTGTGGAAGAATCGGTGCCAACGGCGGCTGCAGTCGGGAACTCTATGTTGTCATCTTGAGGTGTGCTAAGGGCAGTGTTTTAAAACGCTCTTGTCACAGAAAGATCAGTTTGTGTTCTGCTGTCTTCACCATCCCTCTGCCTTTGTCATTCAAGCAGTAACGTGGAAAGAAGCGTCCATTGGGATGGCAAGGGGCTGCCAAGAGCAGGGACACACGTGACACCTCTGCGGCCTCTTATCACCTCAAATCCTTTTCAAACTTTATTAACTAAAATCTAAGCTTTAGAAATTGAAACAGCATAGTACTGGCATAAGAAGAGACATACCAACTAATGCAGAGAATTAGAAGGGACACAAATAAACTACATATTTATGCTAAATAGCAAAATATAAATAGAATATACTATTGGGAAAGGACTTCTAATACATTTAAACTATTATTTATTCATTTATTTATTTAGTCTCAGTGTGGGAGGCAACTGTATGTGCATGCAAAAGTATACATGTGGAAGTCAGATAACAACTTTTGAAAGTTGGTTCTTTCCTTCCACCGTGTGGGTCCCAGGAATTGAACTCAGGTAATGAAGTTTGGTCACAAGCATCTTTGCTCACTGAGTCATCTTTAGCCCAGTACAGTCTCTTTAATTAATAAACAATTTTGGGGTACTGGATATCCAATGTAAAAGTAAAAAATTGGATTTTTACTTTACACACACATCATACAATAATATATGTGTATGTTTATATACGTAAAAATCATGTGAAATATATATAATATATAACATATATATGCATATATATGTAATTCAGAATTACACGAACAGAAACTCACCCAGGGATGGCTTTCTCCACGTGAGAAGTGCCCTCAATATTCACACTCTTCTCAGGGACTCACACTGGGCTGGCTCCTCACAGTTAGCTTCCTCCAGACTCCAAAGGCACTTTCCAATCTGCTCTTGAATCTTCTCTCATCTCCCTTCCTTCCTTCCTGTTTCCAAATCTGCCCTGCCCTCCCCTCTCCTTAGCTCTCAGCTCCTTAAAATATATCACACGAGGCCCACAGGCATCTCTCGGCCCTCCCCATCTCCGTCAACATGGTGCAGACCATTAGCCCACTTTCAGCTGGGAGAGATCAAAGCCTGTGACCTCCCAGCTCTGTCTCCTTCCCCATGAACTTCATGTCTGTTCTGATAGAGAGAGGCAGTCCCTGTGATTGTCTTCCTTGTTGGGACCAGCAGAAGAAGGGGAAGAAGCAAGGCTGTATGCCCTGTTTCCTTTCAGTGAAGTCGGGAAGAGGAGAAGACTGGGATGTAAAAATGAAATTACAAACAGCCTTTTCTCATTTACAGCTTTGACACGCCCTCGGAGGCTCTTCTTTCTCAGGACATAACATGCTTTTTCGGATCTGAAGATACAGTAAAGGACATAAAAGGTGAAATTGCTTTTATATTTCGGGGTATTTTCTTGAAAGATGTGTTGGAGGGTTCTCGGCATATGTCAGCTAACATTCACTGAAATGCATAGAAAATCAGCCTAAGAATTCCTGTGTGTAAACAAAGAGATGCTGGTCTCCTGTAAAATTTAAGTTACGGGTCACACCACTTAATAGTGGTAGGTCTTAAAGAGACTAAAAACACAGGATACACAGAACCTGAGACCCTGGATGTAACTCTATCACTGAGTGTCAGCTTTTAGTGAAATAGTACCTGGAAGTAAGTCTTCTGCTGTCATTGGCTGATGCCATGGGTTACTAAATACAATGCTGTATATTCCTTAGGTTGGGAAGACATAACCAGCGGGAAGGTTGACAGCTACATGCTGCCAGGTGACCACTTTTATCTGTTGGAACCTAACAACGAGAACTTCATCAAGAACTATATAACCAAGTGTTTGGAAGTGTCGTTACTTGCTTGCTTTTAGATGGGCCTTCAATATGCAAACCAATCACAAGCTGTCCCTCTAGCTCCTGAGATGGAGCACTTTAGTGTCCAGAGATTGGAAGGTGCACATTGATGGATTTCTGTTAAGGGAGCTGCAGGCTCCCAGCCAATGGCTATCTTATGCCCCAAAATAACAGCAAACAAACTGTATTCATATAAACACTGCTTGGCCCATTTCTATTAATGTGTGTAGCACCACGAGGTGCGCTTACAAGGAAGATTCTAGCCTAAGTCCACCCTGGGTCGGAACTTCATCATGTCTGCCTCAGAGAGCAGAGCTATGGCATCTGTCTGAGGCGTCTTACCTCACTTCCTCTTTCTCCCAGCATTCTGTCTGTTTACTCCACCTACCTAAAGGCTAGCCTATCAAATGGGCCAAGGCAGTTTCTTTATTAGCCAATGACCTTCCTCCATCAGATTTCTTCATGGAGCATCTCTCTATTTGGGGAAATGGCTAATGCTAAGGGTCAGGGAAGCGAGGAGTTTCTGTAGCTGACAGCTGCAGCAAGAAGGGGCTACTTTTCTTTGGGGGACGTGGCCACTAGTTGGTTACTCATGCTCCGTGTGCACCCACTGGTCGGTGACTCATGCTCCGTGTGCACCCTGGTGGCACAGCAGACAGCTCGAATTGGACTCAGTGCACTGTTTAAAAAGAAGATGAGAAGAGCGGCACAGAATTGGGAGGGGCACACATTGGAGGACGTCCATGGGGGGTGGGTTGGAAAGGTCAGTGATGGGTGGATATGATCAAAACACATGTATGCATTTAGGAAAATTTCAAAGGATAAGTAAAAATATTGTTAGAGGAAGAAAACTTCTGCTAGTGTCCTTTATCTTTTCATTAAAATCTAATTTGATTGACTTTTATATAAAGTTTTATCAACAAAGTGTCTTCAGGTGGGGTTACACCTGAAGCTTCTTGCATTATTCTAGGGGCAAGAATGATTGACAGAGGGAACTGATCATTTCACTATGACTCAAGTTGTAATGTAATCTATAGAATCTATAGAAATATACACTAGTGTTGTGGGGAGGAGCGGTGGGCTGCATCCCCGGCACCCGGCTGCCCACATGGCTAGCTTATGCCCTGAAATAATTACACGGAAACTGTATTCTTTTAAACACTGCCTGGCCCATTAGTTCCAGCCTCTTATTGGCTAGCTCTTACATATTGATCTAACCCATTTCTAATAATCTGTGTAGCCCACAAGGTAGTTTACCAGGAAAGATCTTAACCTGCGTCTGTCTGGAGTGGGAGAATCATGGCGACTGACTGACTTGGCTTCTGTCTCCAGGCATTCTGTTTTGTCTACTCCACCTACCTAATTTTCTGTCCTATCAGGCCAAGCACTTTTCTTTATTAGTTAACCAATGAAAGCAACAGATAAGATACAAGACCAACCTTCATCACACTAGACATACTGAATAAGAAAGAGGACTTGCTCTTTTTTTTTTTTTTTTTTTTACGAAAATACAATACTAAACAATTACTGTCCATCGTGATAGGAAGACCTCAGGGTGCTTACAACCCAGCTGTCTTGTGTTCCTGCTGCCCTGGCAGTGGTTAGCTGGCACTCAGAGCCCTTCCATGGGCAGCCAAACCACAGCCTGGTTAGGTAACTTGTCCATATCATATAGGAAGCCAGGAAGTGGCCAGGAGGCAAATCCATCCATCACTCCAGAGTGCCCACATTCATGGAGCCCGCAGTACATGGTGCAGCAAAGGAACTGAACTGTTCTGTTTCTCCAACCTACTCACCCTTTCCTTCAGTTTTAGGCTTTCCAGTTTTGACACAGGGTCTCATGTAGTCTAGGTTGTCCTTAACCCATGACTCTCCTGGCTCCAGTTCCTGAAGCATCCAGAATAGTCTGCCTGCTATTCATTCTGAGCAAACTTTTCTTTTTGCCCAGTAGCACTAACTCATCGTATATGAACAGATTAAGTCAAGAAAACAAACACTGAGGCTGGGAGATGGTTCAGTCAGTAAAGTGCTTGCCTTATAAACATGAGGACCTGAGTTCAAGCCCCAGATCGCCAATCATGATGGAACACATTGTAACCCCAGTCCCGGGGAGGCAGAGGGAAAAGGATATCTGGGGCAGTCAGTCGAGCATACTTGTTGAGCTCCAAGCAAGGAGAGACCCTGCCTCACAGGAAGCAAATAACACATCTTAGAAAAACAGCCAAGGTTATTCTCTGGACTCCACATGTGTGCATATGAACACCCATACACAGACTTAAATGCAAAAAGGAAACAGATATTTATTTAAGTTTATATGCAGAATACAAAATGACTTTTTAAAGTCACCTTTCACAAGCAAGTAAAAATAGGAAATTATGTTGACACAGTCCAAAGTATTAGAATCCATGCTGTTAGGAAAATACACATGATTTATACAGTTGTCAATGCATTTCCCCCTACACACCATGTGGCTATTATGAAAGCTTTCAAAGGAGATCTGTCTCCCCACCAAGTTCTAAATTCCGTATTTCTCGATCAGCTCTCTTGCTTTAGAAATATAGGCACTCATGGCATCTTCCTTCGACAACCCTAGGAGATACAAACACGTTATCTAACTGACTCGTGTAGGTTAGGAAGGTTTTTTTTTTCTTTTACTTATTTAAGAGTTACAAACCTTTTTGGAGGCTCCATGCTTCCCACTTGGCCTTGCCCTTCATATCTAACATTACTGGACATGCTGTCAAGAGGAGGAGAGAGTTGCAATGTTACTTTTCACTGTGCACTTCTACAGACACTGCAAGCAAGTCCATCTATTTGTCTAAAACAAGCATCAGGTACCACCAATGTTGATGTCTCCAATGATGGACTGTTTGTAGAGCCCATAGAGTTCTTTGAGTTCTTCATCTTCCGGTCTTCTTTTCAGCTTCCTCACGTCTTGTGCGGCCTGGTCAAAATTAGCCTAAGACAAAAGACAACAAGAACACACAAAGTGTGCAAATGTGGTGTGTACACACCTGCAAGCAAGACACGCACATGAAACCTAATTTTCTATTGTAAGTCTCATGCCAACTGTCTTCCAGTAAAGCTGTTTAGCTCACACTGGGTTGAGTGGCAAATGTGTCTTATCACGAGGAAAAATTTGTTTTGCAATATCTCCCTCTCCTCTCCTCTCCTCTCCTCTCCTCTCCTCTCCTCTCCTCTCCTCTCCTCTCCTCTCCTCTCCTCTCCTCTCTGCTCTCCTCCCTCCCTCTATAACACATGCTGAAGAGAAATCACTTTAGAAAGAGAAAAGTTGGTTAGCAGCCATTGGTGTGAGCACAGAGCCGGATTATAGCTACCGGGAAACACATCTGGAGGAGGTTGCGTCAGAGGCTGGTGCTTGCAGTGCTTCCCTTCCTGGGAAAGGGTGCACAGGTATCCAGTGAGAAGACAAGAGCTGGCAAAGGCAGTCCTGACCATCCAGACAGAATTCACCAGGGTCGAACATAAAGGGTGGCTCGAATCACATCAATTCATTCCTCCTGAACATCCACAATAAAGGGCAGGCACAGCTCTTCACCCCTGTCTGCTGACTGTTGGCAAGAACCTGATCACAGACCATTATTAGATCCTGGTGGGTGGATCAGAATATTACCACAGTTGACATGTCTTTATGTGTAGCCATTGGCAGTGAATTTCACAGCATTCTGGGCAAAGGGAATGGCACACTCCTTATGTTGCCATGCCCAGGGAGCTGGACTCTGTGTGGCAGGCGTCTCTATTTTGGCCATGTGAGTGTCCCGCATTCTTATTGAATGTGTGTCCTTGTGATTCCTCTCACTTGCGAACAATGCCCCTCTCCCGGTCACGAGTGTGCTCCAATGCCCTCTTGTTCCCACCCTTCCTGTGGTTGTGATGATACCCATAATGGGCACAGGACAGAATCTCAAAGAATGACCTGTGGCCTCTGGATCCTTCCATTCAAAGCTCACCCCTCTGAAGACAGCCTCTGAAGGGGGCTCACAGTTTGCCTTCCTTCACTTTTGTAGAGAGTGAACTGAGCAGTCAGCTTACATATCAGCCTGGTAAATCCCTTTGAGCAAGTCTCCCTTGATGAAGGACAGCATTAGGAAGATAAATCCCTCAGTTATTCGAGTCACACAAGTGTGTGTGTGTGTGTGTGTGTGTGTGTGTGTGTTCTGGGTGTAAACATCACCACTCCCCTGCTGCCCCACCATTTTTTGTTGTTTCTTGGAATCAAACCTAGGGTCTCTGGCAAGCTTTTTACTATTGAGCTCCATCTACTGCCCAGAAAACACACAACACCCAGGCCACTGCTTTAGCGCCATCGTCGAGCAAGGAAACGTGTCTGAGTAAGGTGACTGTCCCGCCAGGTGTGGAAGCAACACCTGTAATCCTAGCAGCAGAGAAGCTGAGGCAGCAGGATCAGCCAAAGGTTGAGGCTAGCCTGAGTTAAATAAAATAAAATAAACAAAAGACCTATATTACAATTTACATATAAAATTGGGAGATTATAACTGAATTAGGAATTCCATCTGTGTTTTCACTTCTAGAACAATAGTGAATGCACCCTCACTGTCCCTTCAACTAGTGAGCCACTAACAGCTACCAGGAGATACATAATGTCTATCTTCTTCCATTTCCATTTTGAAGAGAGAAGAGGTTTGAATATGCTAGACAGCTACTAGCTGTTGGCTTTTCAGTATATTGTTTACTTTATTTACAATTTTAAATTTTGATTTTTGAAATAATTTCAGACCCAGGTACAAGTTATAAAAATACCACATCTTTATTACCAGCCAGGTTTTCCTGGGTATCGTCTTTGTAACAAGTCCTTACTTCCTGTTCTCTCAGTGTGCAAATGAACTAACAGTATAGACTGGTGTGTGTGTGTGTGTGTGTGTGTGTGTGTGTGTGTGTGTGTGCGTGCATGTGTGTTAAGCCCAGGCTATCCCAGAACATCCAGGCTTAAAACATCCCACCCCTTCAGTTTTTCTAGTGGTGGCAAGTGACTCCAGGGACCTCCTGCATACTAAGTGCCCTACCAACTGAACCACACAAGCCAAATCCCCTTTATTTCTTAAATGGACTTCCCACCTGCCTTCATCTTTCTTTTCTCCTCGAACTACTTTGTGTTTTGGTGTGTGTTTTGTTCTGAGACAGGGCCTCATTAGTACAGTGTAGCTTTGAAGCTGCTGTGCAGCGAAGGATGGAGGTTGATTCCTGATCCTTCTGTCTCCAAGTCCTGAGTGCTGTGAGTAGAGGTGTGTACTGCTACACCCAGCTTGAACTACCGCTCTCCCCCAGAATGTATTGTAATTATTGTTATATTATTACATTTGTAAGGATTTCAAATTGAAATAATAAACATATGTTTTAACAAAATTTCATCTGTAATACTTTATTCAAGTATAAACAATTGCAGTGGCTATAATTCAAGCATTCTTTGATCATACTGATGCTGATATCAAGTAAGCATGGGTTTTAAAACTAGAATCTTTGTTTCCTTCTTTTTGTTTTTGGCGACAGGGTTACTGCATTAACACTCTTGGCTGTCCTGGAACTCGATTTGTAGACCAGGATGGCCTTGAACTCACTGAGATCCACCTGTCTCTGCCTCCTAAGTGCTGGGATTAAAGGTACAGGCCAATGCCCCAGGCTAAGTAAAGATATCTTACTTAGAAAGTTTCAGGACAGCCAGGATGGTCTCGAACAAAACAAAACAACAACAAGAAGATATCCTTACCTACTGCTGCTTTAAATGCTGCCTATGTGGATCATCCAATGAGCTCCCTCCTCTACTTTTATTTATCGTACATTTACTGTTGTGTGAGTGCACACGCACAGGGACCATGGTGTGGATGTGCAGCTTAGGGAACAATGACAACAGTCAGTTCTCTGTCAACTACATGGGTGCCAAGGGTTGAACTCACATAACCAAGTTTGCCAGAAGGCATCTGGCCCCTCTCCTCTAAGACGATAACTGAGGTGTACACACACACACACACATACACACACACACAGAGAGAGAGAGAGAGAGAGAGAGAGAGAGAGAGAGAGAGAGAGAGAGAGAGAGAGATTAACATGTCACAGTCTAAGAGGGAGATGCAAACCTTAATGTCTCTGGGGTATGTCATTCAGCCGTGATATCATCTTGCCTGAAGAAATAAAGAAGTTGGCTATACTCATGATAGAATATGGTAAGCATTAACAATGTGCATCTTAGAAGGTGACAAAATGAGTAAGTGTTCCTAATATAACCGCTACATAAGCAAATCACGAATGTATAATGCTCACATACCTATAATCACACAAATGGAAAAAAGACCTAAGAAAGCGACCTACCATGTGGCTGTCTACTAGGGGAAGGCTCTCCTGGTTTTTAATTTATTCATCTGTACTCTCTCCACTTCTGTCAATAAAACGGTAGGTTCTACTTCATAGAGGAAGTAGCCATGCCAGTCACCAAAACCCTTGCTTATGAGAACCTCTGGAGGTCCCAAGAGCAAGGGGACTTGAGACCCCTGTGGATGTCACCTGCTTGCCTGAGTTGTTAAGAGAGAGGTGAAGGAGGGAAGCTTGTCAATTTTTCAGGTCTGGGTAATTTAAACCATCCCTGGAGCCCAGAGGGGTTGCTATGGAGAACCTGGGTCCTTGTCAACAGATGGCGCAGTGCAGTCTAAGGTGAAATAACAAGACACTTAGGCAGGTGTGGGGAGTGACTGCAGGGTCACAGCTGGGCGCCCCTGAGCGCTCCACTTGCCCCCGCCCTGCCCCAGAGCTGTGATGCCCCCTCTCGCCCCGTAAGAGCGCTCCTTGGAGAGTTGCTCCTGCAAAGCCTTCCCAGATCTGGCTTACCTGCAGGGACATAGTGATGAGGTAAAGTAGGCTGTGGCTCTTCAGCTCTGGGTCTCAGTCCCCAGGGTTTGGCCACTTGCTTAAAGAGAAGCGCTCCTCCTCCGGCCTCTCCTATAAGTTGGGCTCTCGGCGTGGGAAACTCTAATTGGTCATGGAAGCTGAGGGGCGGAGCCGGACGATGGCTTGTACCCGCCCTGTCTCTCAGAGGAGGGGCCTAGGCTGCCTCTACTTGGAAAGGGTTGCTAGATTATTATCTCTCTGCTCCTGGCTCACCCTTCAATTTTTTTCTTTTTCCTCAAGAGGTTGTTTGCAGAAAGCTAAGAGAGGTCTCCCCAGGCTTTGGAACCATCTGGGAGTCCTTGATCTTTCCTCTGTGAGTCTAGAAATCTGGACGGTGAGTGAGTGGCCTTCTCATCAAGACAGTACAAGCTAGATTGAGTGGCAGGGGTCAGAGCAGGGCAGGGGTATGGCAGTTGGTGTGCAGTTTGCCACTTTCAGAGCTGATTGGCCCTGCCGGCTGGCAAGTCCTCCGTGGTCTGTTGAACAATGAGCATGAGGCTTTGGTAAACAGAAACCATAACATCCGCACTGTGTAGCTAAATACCTGGTGGTCTTTCTCTAGTGTGGGTTGCACCCAGGATACATTGACTACACTTGAGCACAGGGCTCTGAGGATCCCAACAGAGGGATTTTCAAATCTTTCTGGATAGGACAAGGTAAGATTGCAGCAGCAGTGGTTTGCCCTGTGTGCGGTCCTGTAAACTGTCTTAGTGCGCTTGTTCCTCCCACCCTTCGCCATATTATGCTTTTGACAAACCATCCCTGAAATAAATTCTTAGGGTGCAGAGCAGAGTCTTACATTAACGAGGCTGTTCATTTTCTTCTCGATCCTGATGAAGAAACTGTCTTCTGCTGGGTCTTGAGGTGGTTAATTCCCAGTTTCCAAATACACTGCCATGCTGATTTCCGGAGGGGTTGTACAAGTTTGAACTCTGGCCTGCAGTGGAGGAGTGCTCCCCTTACTCCACATACGCTCCCCAACATAATCTGTGACCACTATTTTTGATCCTAGCCATTCTGAGAGGTGTAAATGCTATCTATTGCCATTGCCATTTGCACTATCCTGATGCCTAAGGAATTTGTAATTATTCCTTAACTGTCTTTCAGCCATTTGAGATTCTTCTGTTAAGAACACTCTATTTAGATGTGTACCTTATTTTTTAATTGGATTATTTGGTATATCGATGTCTAGTTTTTGGAGTTCTTTATATATTTTGGAGATCAACCCTCCATCAGATATGCGGTTGGTGAAGATCTTTTCCCATTCTCTAGGCTGCCGTTTTGTCTTAAAGACCTTGTCCTTTGCCTTACAGATGCTTCTCAGCTTCAGGATGTCCAATTTACTAATTATTGCTCTCAGTGTCTGTGCTAATGGTGTTATATTTAGGAACTGGTCTCCTGCGCCAAGGCATTCAAGGCAGAGAGGTTTCAAGACAGTTTACTCTTGTCTCCGTTGTGTGTTTTTTAAAGATCAATCATTGCTATGCACATCCACAATGAAAAAGATCAAGCAGGGCAGAAGGAAAGACAAATGTATAGTTAGAAGGGACAAAGAGCACAAGAAATCTAGTGTTGGAGCCTTGCTTGGTGCTGAAGAGATAAATTAGAAGGAAGTAAAGGGAGGGGTCCCCACAGGGCAAGGCCCCAGCCAGCTAATCCTGCAACTGTGGGAAGAAAATACCTTAAGGAATGACTCTTCCCTAAAGAAGATTCAAGAAGGGTCCAGGTTCCAGTTTTCACGCTAAGCGGCAAGCAAACCTTGGCTACTTTGGTCATGTGGTTCTGGTGATGGAGTCACGAAGGGAACCTGAGTGAGGGGTAGTGGGATCATCCTCTGTGCTTAAGGAAAGCTGCCGTGACCAGGCATAAGTCAGGGGTGTCCCTGCATGGAGGCCTAGAGAGGACAATACGTGAGCTATGAAGGTGAAGCCTAGAATCCTTGGAGACCCTAGGATGTTGGAGATGCCAGAGCCGTGGATCTCTGCCAAGGAAAGGAGTGGACGCAGCCCAAGAGAAGGAAGTGTGCTGCAGTCAGCTAAGCTGAGAGGACTGGAGAGCAGAAGAGCCCTTTGATATCAAACATGGAGAAGAGGGTTCTGGGGTTTGCCCTGCTGGGTTTTGGTTTTGCTTTGTTCCAGCCTTTCCTCACAACACCCTCTTTTCTCCCTTTAGGAATGAAAATATGTTTTCTGTGGCATTGTATGTTGAAACAGGCAATTTGAGTTTTACTTGTATATTGCGTTACACTTAAGAGATAATGACTTGAGTCTCAGAAGAGATTTTGGACTTTGAAATAGTGTTGAGACTGTGAAAGACTATGGGGACTTTTGAACTTTGACTACGTGAATTTCGCTTTATGATCTCTACAAGCCTATGGAGGGCCAGAGAATGGACTGTGGTGGGTGGAATAAACCCCCATAGGCTCATATATTTGAGTGCTTGGTCTATAGTTGGTAGAAATTTTGGAAGGGATTAGGAGGCAGGGCCATTTGAAGGAGGTATGTCATTGGAGGAGGCAAGGAGGTCTGAAGCCCACAGAACATGGACAAGCCCCTGTCTGGGCATAGGAGAGGAAGAGAAACTGGACAAGACTCTATTTCTGATGGAGTGTGCAGATGGAACTGGAAACAGACACAAAAGGCTGTGGAGGATGGAGCCCATGTGAAGCCTGGAGGACAGGGAGTGATTGGTCAGCTCTTCCTAGCAGCCACCGCCCCACCCCCAGGAGCCCTTTGTGACAGGGAAACAGGAGCTCTGTGATGTGGTCCTGACCCAGCTGCCAACTCCCAGAGAGAACTCTCAGAGTTCAGTTGCCTGAGAGCAACAGGGCGATTCAGATGGAGAATTTTCTCTCTCTACTGGAAAGCGTTGAAACTTCATGGCTGAACCCCAGCTCCACCACTTGGGCAATGGACATGATTCTTGCCTTTGTGTGTGGGCTGGGGCTCTTCCACCTATTATTACCCCTCCTCCCCTTTGACTCACCCTCACCTACACCAGCAGAAAATACCACCCCACAGAAGGTAAGTTTGCCTTAGGTCCAACCCAAGGAAGAATAGTTCCTTCTCTCCAGGCTTCACTTTCTGAATCAAATAGGGAGGTGGAGAGAGGGCATCTCAGCCAAGAGCCGGACCCCATCCTCTTGAGACCTGGCAGGTAGGGAAGAGGAAGAGTGGGCTCCAAGATGTCTGCTCTCAGACCATTCATACCTGGGAGAAGCCCTGTGCCTTGGTGGTGGTGTGTGGGGGGGGTGTTCTTGGGTTGAATAGGGATCTCAGAGAAAGGAAAGCTTCTGAGCCATGGTTTCTATGTCCCCCTCTAACATACATGCTTATAGGGTTGATCGAGCTGATATGAAGGGGGCGATGACCTCCAGGACATCAGGAAGCGACTGCTGGTACTTCAGAGCTGAGCCTCTGGTCCCTGAGCAGAACAACACTGACATCCATGTGGCGCTCACAGAGACGGTCCCCATTTGAGTTTTCCAAGAAAAAAAGGACACATATTTGCCCACATTATAGATATGTGAATGGTGCCTCAGGTGTTCTCTCTCTCTCTCTCTCTCTCTCTCTCTCTCTCTCTCTCTCTCTCTCTCTCTCTCAGGTGTTGAGGAAGGAGCACAGAAAAGTCAGGAAGAAAATCAGGACTGTGAAAGGTAGGCTACTTTCTTCCCCTGGCGAGGTGACTTCAGCCACCCATCCCACTATATCACTAATGAGTTGTAGGACCCTCAAGGAGACAGCTCCTGGGAAGGAACCCAGAGTTGAAGACATTTCCCAGGTCCAGTGCTTGGAATGAAGCTGTGAACAGCTAGGACTGGGTACTGCCTGGGGAGGGATGGTGTGGCAGGAAGTGGTGCCATGGGATGAAGTGGGACCATGCTGCCTGGATTTGGAGGTAAATTGGTGGTTTGCCCCTTCTGAGAGACAATTTCCTCTCTCAGAGCCCTGGTCCTTCCCTGCCCTCCACAGGGAGATAATGACGTCTATGGAAGTCATTAGAAGTGGAGGCTCCTGGTTCATGGCATTGTCCTGCCCAACATGTGCCCAGCTCTCCATGCATTTGGGCACCTGGCCTTGCTCATGCATAACAGAGCTCCTGTTTAACTTTCATTTCTCCGGAAAGGACAGTTCATTCAGTCTCGGGTAAGATACCCGGTCCCTCCTATACCCACCAATAACCCAGTCTCCATTTCCAGCTTACAGAGGCAGCTGGAAGAAACCAGAGGATGACAAGGTACTGGCTTCACTTCTGCACAGGTGAGCCATCTCCAGTTCTGTCTGGTCACTCCTACCGTCTGCTATGTGATCACCACTGACCAGGGCATACAGTTATCTTGGGAATAGGAACCCTCTGGATGGGTGGAAATGAGTACAGCCCTGGAGGTTAAGACAACAAGGTCTCCTAAGAGCAGAATGTGGAACAGTGGTTCTGATGGGCTGCGAGGGTCCTTCCCTACTCATCTAGCCCCACCTCCTAGCCCCGTGAGCTCCTGGTTGCAATCATATCTCCTGCCTCTTACAGCATAAAAGAGAGGCTTGTCAATTCCATCAGCATTTGCCAGCATTTAGTACAAGATGCCTCAGGTGAAGCCTTCAAACCAGATCCTACCAAAGCCCACCTGCCACCTAGGCAGCCCACAGGGAAGTCTGTGGCCACCATGTCATCCCTAGAGACTTCCTCTGCTCCTTACAACCAACACCTGTTTCTCAAGGATTCTAAGCCATTCTCTCCTGTCCTGCTGAATTCCTCACCAATTGAGTCACAGACTTCTGTGACCTTGACAACGGGAAGACGGAATTCACCACCACAACGATGGGCACCTTCCTACCCATCTCAACCTCTGGATCCTATGGCTTATCCTCCACCCATGCCAGATCTTGGAATGGCAGTGACCTCACAGAGCTCACAAACCCTGCCAGATTTGCCTTCTCCCATGCCAGGCACCCCAGGCATTAACCTCTCAAGGAGGCCTACATTGACCTCCCCAGGCCTTAATTACTCAAGCAGGTCTACATCAACCAGCCTAGGCTTTAACCATTTAACCAGGCCCACCTCAACCACCCCAGGCCTTGATATCTTAAGAAGGCCTACCTCAACCACCTCAGGACTTGATCCCTTCAGCAGGCCTACCTCAACCACCTCAGGCCTTAAACACTCAAGAAGGCCTACCTCAACCACCACAGGCCTTGAACACTCAAGTAGGCCTACCTCAGGCCCTTTGAGGTACCAGGTAACTTCCAGAACCTTGTGCAGCTCAACCTCCTCACCGGATGAGTCCTTGCAAGAGGATCTTTCTCTCACCATCCACAAGGCCTCATTCTGGACAGGCCCCACAGACAGCCAGATAGAGCCTGGGGAGCCCTCTTTCGTCAGCCCTGTTATACAGGAGATGCCGGAAGTTCAAATACACAAAAGAGTCCAACTAAAACTGTGCAAGGAAACAGGAAAAGGAAGATCAGACCTTCCCTATGGCTGTATGGGCAGTATGCTGCGTGTTTGCAGCAGCAAGGAAGCCAGCATCACTTCACGCCTCTTCTCGAGCAAAGCCAACAATTCAGAGCCTTTGTCGGGTCACCAGAAGGACAAATATATCCAGCTTTACTGGGGTCTCCCCTGGCTCCACAGTGAGTCCCTAGTGGCTCCTGTCCTCATGGCAGGGTCCCCACTAGATCCCCCCTCCATCTTGTTTAATGGACTCTCTACTTACAGCCCATTAGATCTTAACACTAAAGGCCTTCCACAGCTCTGTTCTCCACAGCCGTTGTTTCAACACTGGGTCAAATCTGATTCTTTGATTCCAAAGGTTTCCTGGTCCCGAACACCATCAGAGACTAGAATCCAAGCCAAGGCCCATGACCCATCCTCTCTCTCAAAGCTGTCGTGCAATTCAGCTCCAATTAGGAAAGATGGGGCTTCTTGTCCTACACCTACAAGAACTGAAGTTACTGTCTCACCGAGTGTTCGACAGCTAGAGTGCCACGTTGTGAAGAAATATCGAGAAAGTAGGGGCTCGCAGGGCCAGGGGCCTGTTGTCCATCTCCAGGGGGATTACATTAGCCCCAAGCTACGGGAGCAGCCTTCCTTCCTAGATCTGGGCACACAGAAGGTGCTAGAAGCACATATTACAAGACACCTAGTGAGGCACAGATGGCGCCTGCCCCTCAGAGGCCTCAAGGCCATCCATATTCTAAAGATGAAGAAGGACACTTTACCCTCTCCACAGTGCTCCAATGATTCTCTGTCTTGGGACTCTACAGACAACTCTATGATCCAACTGGCCAGTAACCTGAGAGAACCCATCCAGCAAGCCCCAGAAAGAGACGTGAAAATAAAAACTTTCTCTGTGGAATCGCACTTCACACAGAACTGTCCTGCCCTCCAGACAGCACTCTTGAGAGAGGCTCCGCCTAGTAACGAATCTGGGCCCTCTGAAGCCCCTACAACTACTCTGGGGTACAGTGAGAATTTGTTGTCCACTCCCGACCACCTCGTGGGCAGAGCCTGGCACAAACATACACTTGGTAGATCTTGGGAAGAATTCCCAGAGCCCAATCCAGGCCGAATCCAGGAGAGTGAGGGTGGGACTTTAAGACATTCCGACAATGAGGTTTCAGTTCGAGAAATTAGTGGGGTTTCTCAGTCCTCAAGGAACTGGGGTACCAGGGAGCTGGAGGAGACAGAGGAGGAAGAGTCTTGTGAGTGGACAATCCCCGTGGAAGCTGCGAAGATGGCTGATTTTCAAATCAATCAGTTTCTGGAGGCAAGGGGAAATCTATCTAAGACCCTTCCCCAGAATGCAGACGACTCGGGCTTGAGAAGACCTCAGTGCTCAGCTGCTGCCGTCGTCCTGCAGGATTGTGCCACTGGTGAGTTATGCCAAGCCTGGGACCCAGAGGTTGTGATTGCTGCAGAGATCTTGGCTTCCAGGGCCGCCCGGTGCAACGTCAAGACTGAGCCCGCTACGATCAAGCCAACCTTCTATTACAGGTCCCCTTTCTTAGGAAGAGACAGCAATGTCCTCAAGACTCACAAATTAGAGGAGCCACAGCACACTGATAAATATGGCACAAACATCCAAAACAAGAAATACAGGAGTCCTCCCAGGCAGAACATACAACTTAAAGGGACAAAGCCAGACCAAGCTTACACACCAAATAATGTAACGTTTGGGGACAAAATGAAGAGAGTTTTACTAACAGTTCTAAACCCAACACATAAAGTAACAAACAACTCCATAGGAAACTGCAAGGCTGTACCATCGATGATCCCTAGCCAGGGAAACCAAAAATACATCAGCACAGTTGGCCATGCAAATCTCAAGATTCAGAGTCAACCTTCTCCTGACGGAGGGATGCCCTATGGAAACAGGCAGGCCCTGGCATCCAGAGACCCTGCCTACCTAGGCAGCTCCTATCAGGACAGAGCCCTTGTTGCACATGTCCCAGGGATTGCATTAAAGTATAGTAAACAAGTCTATCCCAAATTAAACTTAAACTTTTAGACATTACTTCCTCTGAGTATGTTTTATTTTGAGGTTGTATCTGCTTGCTACAGCACAAAGAAATGTCTGTATCTGGTCCACCTTAGAGTACTGCTTCATGAGAGGATATAGCTCCACAAAGGTGGGGACAGAACTATCTCCAAGTTCCATCACTGTAATTAGAGTCAATATACTGTAATTTTGGAAACAAAAGACTTTAGGATTTGTGTGTGTGTGTGTGTGTGTGTGTGTGTGTGTGTGTGTGTTGAGGGGAGGACAAAATCAGCCCTACAAGATGCAAACAAGAAGTCTTTAGTTTTGGGGAGCGTGATAAGTCAACCACGTAGACCCTACCCTAAGGGTCCGTTCCCATCCAGACTACCCCAGGCCTTGACCATTCAAGTAGGCCTTCCTCATCTACCACAGCTCTTTACCACTCAAGCAGGCCTTCCTCAACCACCCCAGGTCTTGACCACTCTATCAGGCCTTCCTCAACCACCACAGCTCTTAACCAATCAATCAGGCCTTCCTCAACCACCCCAGGCCTAGACCACACAAGTAGGCCTTCCTCAGGCATTTCCAGGTACCAGGTAGCTGCCAAAACCTGGTGCCACCCCAAATCCTCACATGGTGAGTCCTAGCAAGAGGATTTCTCCCTCAGGTTTCAAGAAGCCTCGCTATGGACAGGCCCCACATACAGGCAGATGGAGGCTGGGAACTCTCTTTTATCAACCCTGATATCCAGGAGATGCTGGAAGTTCAGATTAGGAATAGGGTTCAACTGAAAGTTTGGAAGTGGAAATGAAAAGAGAGATCTGACTGTGCCTTAAGCTGTATGGACCATATGCTCTAGTAGTGGAGCCAGAAGCAGGTCAGCACCACCTTATGCACCTTTTGGAGCTGAAACTGCAAATCAGAGCAGTTTTCAAGTTCTTGGAAGTTCTTTTACCAGAAGGTTTTAGACAATGATTTACAGCAGAAATGGAGTCAGTTATTCTGGGGACTATCCTTTCTCCACAATGAGCCCTCTTGGTTACTGTCAACATGGCAAGGTCCCCACTAGATCACCTCTCCATCTTATTCAATGGTCGATCTATTACACCCCTAAACAAGTGTAGGCTATCATAGCTCCACAGCTCTTTCTCAGAATTCCTTGTTTCATCAATTTGACTCAGAATCAGTTCCTGGTCCTGATTGCCACCAGTGCCTGGAATCCAAACCCAGGCCTATGATCTATCCTCTCTCCCAAAGCTACAGCACCAATCAGCTCCAAGAAGGGAAAGTTCTTTCAGGAGTGGGCCCCCGAGGCACCAGAGAGCCAGCCCAGTGTCTCCCCAAGTCACAAAGTAGGCACAGTCATCTGGACAGTAGTAGTGTGGCATCTTTGAGTTCAAAGCAGGCGAACAGTCACCTCCAACTATCCTGCCGAGGCATAAAGGACCTAGAGACCATAGGGACCTCCTACTCAATTCATTGGAGACAGGCCACCAGCTGAGTTCTTCAGGCACTTCCAGCTGGGCCTGGATGACAAAACCATGTCACCCTGTCCTATGTCTGCCTACAGGTTGGTGGCCAGCATGGAACAGACAACTTTCATGAGGGTGGTAGTTGCAGAGACCCCTGGTCATTTGTCATACTCTGGACAACTGTATAATCAGTACTCATCTGACCATGGGCATGACAATCCTAAGGAGAAGGTAGAAAATACAAAGTTTAGAGCCAAGGCAGGTGGCCATGTAATGTGAGGATGAGCTAATAGTTTCCAGGCATGTGAATCCCCTGCCCCTCCAGGACAGACTGTTGACATGGGGGTCAGAGCCACACACCTAACCTCAGCCCAGTCTCTTTACCATGGACGGGAGGAACCCTTTAGCTTGAAGGGACTTTCCATTGTCACAGTCCTGAGGACAATGCCAGCGGCCGAGCAGTGAGATGTGTTCAAGCCTGAGTCTTCTGGATCCTGAGAAATAGTTGTAGAGTTAGATAGACATTTCTTTTTGGCAGCATTTCATTGATTTGAGAGTTACCCATCTCCAGAGCTTCCATGGGGAATGCCCACTCAATAAACTCGTCCTTCTTTGTCTGCTCCAGCTCCCTGCTATTCCTGCTATCTCTACATCCCTGCTACTTGGCAGGTTGGATTCCATATTGATCTCCTGAATTGACACCCCTTTGTACATTTTTTTAAGGCCAAAACCCTTACTCCTGTGGCTCATAGACATTATTGTCTAGGTCTGGATTCCTCTGGGTTGTCCAAGATTCAAGAACCGTATCACTGTGTCAGGCTCTGCCCACGAGGCTCTATGGTGTGGACTCAAAAGTCATCTTGTCCTCCTGGATAGTTGTGTTTAATTAATTTATGTTGGGTAAAGCACTTGCTTTCCCAGATAGTACATTTCTGCAGAGGCAGCGCCTTGGAGAGTGGATAGGAATCCCTGTGATGCATGGTGCCTATACCCTGTGATGATACAGGATAGCCCAAAACCCAGGTTCTCTGCACATAGGATGATCATAAGGCATCCAGTTGTCTGTGGAAAGTTGGCTGTGCACCTTAGGGTTGCTTTGGCTAACACAGTTACTGTTTCCGTGAATCTTCTTAGATTGTACCATAGTAATCCTGTGGTGGTAGACATGCCGCCTTGCTCCATCCAGCTGGATGTTTCTTTGTTTATGTTTTCTTTCACACCTCTTGTGAAACCCCAGTTTCTCCTCTGGATTGAATCCAAAGAGTTCACGAGGTCCTTTCCTTCAGTAACTTGTTGAGGCATGAATAATCTGCTCACAACTGACCCTTGTCTTTGTATCTTGGCTAATAAACCCTTGACTTTTTGCAAATAGAGGGTAGCTTCCCAACAGCACATCCAGCAATCTGCATGTTCTTCCCTGAGTTCTAGAGATGAGCTGGTGGAAAGACCAGAAGGTCGGGATTCTGAATGTCCCTCACAGCCTGGTGGTCTTCCCATGCACACTGTCCTAGAATTACTCTCAAGGGAAAAGAGGGGACACCTGGAAATCTTCGAGGGGAAACTCTGTGCTCACACAGCAAGGCATTCTAGGCCTCCAGCCCTTGTCTTCCCATGAGACCAACAGAATAGGCCATCTCATAGTGCTGGTTCACACAGCAGAAGGAACTTGTCTAAAATGCGGCTCTGGACTGGCGTAAATGTGTCCCTTCCTGAGCATTGCTTGGCTACCTTCCGTGGTTTCCTTGCCCCAGTCTCTGTTTCTTAGGAAACACGTGGGCATAACTGCATACAACTGCATACAAGAGCAGCCTAGTCCCAGGGTGGCCCGCACTGTTCCTCACAGAAAGCAGCCAGGAAACAGCTCCAGCAGCACCACTTAGTCCCTGGTAAAAAAATGTGCTTCTAGAAGGTGTCATCAAGGACATGGACATGGGGCCTGCTCCAGCACACTTCAGCAGAAACCCACTCAGCCCTCCACGGGCATGCGCACAGAAACCCAAGGCAGACCTCTACTGAGACCCACACAGAGAGATGCCACCCACAGAGTTTCAGAATTCCACAGAAATACACCAACAAAGATCAGCCCTAAAACCCTGACAATGACCCCCAAAGAGACTTCTGATGGTTGGTACATCCTACAACATGCAAAAGGAACAAACTTCATAGTAAACACAGAGTTTTCAAAGACACTTTTGATAGAGACACTAAGGGAGACCTCAGAAGCTTCCCAAGACTTAAGTAGATATGTCACTTGGTAGCTTAAGGGTGCCACACACACTCCTTAACAGTGATACCTCTCAGCCTTCCAGACCCTCACACAGCCCCTTCAGATGGACAATCATACAGAGTTTCTCCATACCCAGAGACCTCTTGTGACACATGGAGGTGATGCAGACTTCCAGAGACCTCCCATCCTCCTTTGGGGTTCCACACAGAACATTTGTATGTCTCACACAGAGTTTCATGGAAAGACCTATCACAAAAGTCATACACAGTCACCTGCTGAGATTGCAGGGGATTATCAACAAGACCTCATGCAGCCCACAGGAAAGGTTGCTGCAGGAAGTATTACACCTTGTAATCCTGCCTACTGGGGCGTGGTCTCATATACAATATACATGGAAGCCGACCGGGTGTCAGTCCCTTTGTTCTCCTTCTCCTTGCTCTTTCCTGCCAGCTGCTTCTTTGGATCACGTGATTCAATCCATTAAGCAGAGGATTCCGATTTGGGAGTTTACCCCGTAATAATAATGGACTTTATATAATAAATTTATTAATATAATAAATAAATTTCTTGATTCTTAGGTAGTGTGGGATTTCTTTTAGGCATACAAAAGGTCTCAGATGTGGACCCAAGAGGGACACCGACATGGGTTGTTAAGGATCTGGAGTGTATTAGACGGGATATTAGTGCCATGAGCAGGCCAGCAGCCTAGCCTGATGGAGGCTCTGAAGAGAGCTGGGGAATAGGTTTTGCTTTGGTTTGCACAGGAGAAGAAAAGATATGCATATCATCAAAATTAATAAAGATTCGATTTGAATATGAAAAAATCACTTAGCATGGTTGTATGCTGTACCAAAATGTATTGTTTATGCCTTCAAAATGCAAAACAATGTTCTCACCACCACTGCTATAAAGATGTGGCTCTTAGACATAAAGGACATTTCACACGGTGAACATTGATGTCTTCTGTTGGTCACTGAATTACTGTAGAGCAGGAACTCCCTTATTCACTAAAATCTTCTGTGAGAGACAACTGTCATGTATGACAGGACATGGCAGTTGTGACAGTTGTGCATCGTGTAAGCACATAATGCATGTTTAAGTAATCTGTAGAGGCCACCACATCAGCCAGACGATATCACAAATGATGAACCTGGGTTTTACTTCTAAAGTAGCCTTCCTGAGATCTAACAATTATCCATGATCTTTTTAATGCTCTAATAGGAACTGGAGATTTCTATTTTACATTTAATAAAACTAAGTGTTTGTATTGAACAACTTACAGCACACTGTGTAATTTCATATTCTCTGAAAATAATGTACACTTTCCC